TATAGAACAAATATGATAGTTACGCGCTAAACCAATTATAAATTTAAGTGTGCTAAATGTTTTGAATATCTACAGATTTGAATACTTGATAGTTGACAGTGTGATAATATTTTAGTAAAATTTGTTTATTCATTAAATTGTATATTATTATATAATTTGAAATTTGTATGATTAAGCTTAAATTAGAAAACTAAAATAGTTAAAGTATTAGCTAAAGTTCATAGGTATGTTTAAGTTCAAAAGAGTCCTAGGTATATAGCCATATAGGAATTATAGGATAACTTTAAATTGTATAATTACTATTTATTATAGGTTATTATAAATACCTAATAATAACTAATAAGTAACAAAATAAAAAAAAAAAATTATAAAACCACTAAACATAATATGCACCTTAACGTCCTTAACCTTCATCATTTCTTTACTAAAAATGTAGCTATAAACATTTTTTTTTTATTTATTTAATTTAAAATGTGTCAGCATATCATATTAAGCTATTGCTAGTCTTAGATATATAATTACAAAGATAAAAGTATTTACATTCTGTATGCTATAAACTTTAAATACTATAGCGCTTACATTATATTTTAGTTGAAGAAGCAGGAGGAAAATGTTTACCTTGTGTCGTTGACGTAAGAAATGAAAGTCAAATAATCGATGCCGTTAATAAAGCTATTGATGTATTTGGAGGTTTAGATATTGTCATCAACAATGCTAGTGCAATATCATTAACTGGAACATTAGACACCGACATGAAGAGATATGATTTAATGCATAGTATTAATACACGAGGAACATTTCTTGTGTAATATACCTCTATAAAATTGCGTTATACCCATACGCGGAGTAGGGGAGTTTTAGCCCCCCCCCCCCCCACCAAAAAAAAAAAAAAAATGAACATTTTTCAAAATATTAAATAGATACCTAATTTTTAAAAATGCAAAGAAAGATTTAACCCCTCCCCCCTAAAATTCAATTAAATATCCGCCTAAGGTTGTACCTAAATATTATCTTCATAATACTGACAGTTGGTGTTTATGAAATGAACAAAAATTATTTCTAATATTATATTTTATCTATTTAGATCAAAAATATGTTTGCCTCATTTAAAGAAAAGTAAACACGGTCATATTTTAAATATTAGTCCTCCGTTGAATATGAGTCCTAATTGGTTTAAAGACCACCTTGCATATACGATGGCCAAGTATGGAATGTCAATGTGTGTATTAGGAATGGCTGCAGAATTTAAGAAACATAACATTGCCGTAAATGCTTTATGGCCCAGAACTGGTAATATTAAATATTAAATATAATTTATATCCATATTAAGCGACAAGTTTCAATTAATAGTTGTATATCATTATTAACAAGTTTCATCTTTGTTAAATTTCTAATTTCTAATCTATTAACTGAAAATGGCTGCACATGAATTGCGTTCCGATATATAAAAATCGATAGAAGGTACAAGGTACACGAATTGCATCCAGCCTTACCTAAATACACAACTATTTTATAATTATATTTTTTACCCAAGTTTATTTTAAATGGTAAAGTAATTTTAAGCAGATTACACTTTTGTAGTTTGTATACGGGAAGGAAAATTATGTTTTTACGTCTTATGATATTTTAAGTATTAATCAAATATTTTAATACTAATTTAATTTACATACCTACTTCTAATTACAAAAGAACCATATTTTTAACCTACCGATAGTTACCTATAATGTGCTTTTGAGAGTCTTAAGTCTGTAGGAAAATTATGTTTTTACGTTGGGACGTAATTCGTGTACTCGATAAATATTGTCAGTACGCAATTCATGTGGAAAATGGATTTCGGGACGCAATTCGTGTGCATCACTGAAAATTATCTGCGTGGCTGTGTGGTTTTAAAATGTACACCGATCATCAATTGGGACAAAAACTTATGTTTTGAGTGAACACGCAAATAAGTGGGATATACAAAAATCAATTTCGGACCATGAAGGTTGAAGATTGCTTTATGTCCAATTTAAAGCCTGCATACTTACAGAAGAACTTAGATAATTGTATTATTTATTTCAACATTTGTTTATAGAATATAAATAAAAAAAAAAAAAAAATTTAATATTTTTATATAAATACCTGATTGCTAGTATTAGATAGGTACCTAATATATATTACAGGTACAAAATGATTCACTAAGTCCAGTATTTAATGTCTATACTTATAATTTCAAAAATGTTTGAGTTTTAAAAAATATTAATTTTATATAATTTTAAGTCATTGCAATACTTTTTTGGAAAAAAATTATATTTTCTAAAAAATGTTATCATCATTTTTTTTTAGTAGTATTGTAAAAAACTGAACCATGTAAAAAAAATTAAGACTTTGAAATAATAAGTGTAGAAACTTATATTGATCACCTAGTTATCGTATACCTATAATATAAAATAATATTATGTTAATAAAAAAAGATACTGCAAATTGGTTACGATAATACAAAGTTATTTGAGACTTTGAAAGTATTTATTTGTTATAGTAATTCATACAGCAGCTGTGGAGATGTTATCTGGAATAAATGAAGCAAAATCATATTCGCGGAAACCTGATATAATGGCTGATGCAGCTTATTCAATAATTACTAAACCATTTGATCATAATAACGGTAATTTTTTAATTGATGATGAAGTGTTACAACAAGAAGGAATAACAGATTTTGATCAGTATTTAAGTGATCCAGGTATGAAAAGTATTGCTATTTATCAATAAATATTTAAATATTGACAAAATATTAAAAGTATAAGTAGGTATAAGATTTTTTTACATTTTTTTAGCGAATAATGGTAATCTCATGATGGATTTTTTTTTGGAAGAATATCCACATAATGGTTTCAATCAAGGTAAAGAATTAGCTAAAAGACAAGCTCAGTCCTCAGAAAAATGAAACAAATAAAGTGATAAATTAAAAATTTTAATTTATTTATTCATTTTTTATGATATACTTATTGTATATATAATAGTAAATTAATAATATTATTCAATATTTTCTAAAATAGTTGTAAAATTATTTATTATTATAGTATAAAAAAATATTGATATCAGTTGTAATATTCGACAACATGCATAAAGCCATGAAGCCGCTACACTAGTATTGCCGCTACACTCCTTATTAATTTATCAATGTCTACATAATTTTTTCACAAAAAGACTATATATTCTTACCTAAAAATATTTATTACAAATAAATTAAAACATTAATTTTTGAATTAAAAATATTAGATGTGTTATTATTATTACCCATTAAATAAAATTTAACATAACACAATTATTACTACTTATCTTAAGAAATATTTATTTATATTTTAGAGAAAAGTTAAAAGATTGTTATTTCATCAATTAATTACTCTTTCCAGTTGTTAGGTAATTTGCTCTGCTAGACATTTATGTTTTATTTTAGAAGTAAATATACTAGTACAGAAATTTAAGTTAGACATCAAATATTGTTCAATAAGTAAACTTAATATATTTTCATAAACCTGCGTATATTAATTATTAAGAAAACTATAATTTTAAGTTGCATAAAAATTTATTAATTTAATGATCCAATACAATTTAATAGATTAATCTCAGACTTCTAAATTATGTTTAAAAGACCATTAGCTCATTATTAATTCATTAAATGTTTAGTGATTGTTTATGCAATCCAATATAAGTAATTTAAAAAATATCTAAAGCATTCTAATTTATACATAGTAATTAAGTGTCAAGAATACCTCGTCATTAAGTATATAGATCTATTATAATATACATATGTTAATAGGTATTAATTATATATATAATAGGTATTATAATTAATCATAGCTACTTGTGAAATAAAAATTTTCCTGCTAAGAATAAAAATAAAACTGGGCCGAGAATAGATATCGATTTTTTTAAGATTGGTTTAGTAATAAATCTATAATGAAATCAATTGTATTGAAAAAAATATTTGAATTAATTTACTTAAATACTTTACAACACGGCAAATAAATGATTTAACATTTTTTCCTGTCTTTGATATTATACAAAACATCAGTTTTCAATGTTTTCATACTTATCTCATGGATAAATTTGATAAAAAGATGTATACGAATATCGTATTCATACATTTTCATAGACCTTATACTGTCTATGTGTATTTTATAAAAGAAAACATCATAATATAAAAATGAATTAAAATGGGCATAACAGGAGTATTATCTAATGCGGTGGGCCAATTTTTGACGTTATTAAGCAGGTGGTGCCGTTGCACATGCTGCCACCCACAAATAACTTCCCCGAGTGATAAGACCATGAGTGTAAGAAGTGTATACAGCAGTACATAAATTAAAAACGATAATATTATTCAAAAAAATATTAAGTAGGATTATGTAAATACTGAATACATAATTTATTATACAAGATTTACAAGTGTTAAATTATTGTATTACCAAAGTTTTTATTATGTTGGTAATTTTTCAAATGCAAAAAGTAAATTGTATCTCTTTCCTTATCAATTTTCTGACAAGTCACTGATATCAGTGATTCTTATTAACATTAACGAACCCGTTTGGCGTTTACCTGTTTAGTATAAAATATGAATAATGAATTTGAAAATACTGAAAATAGGTATTTGTAATTTGTATTAGTTATTAGTTAATTAATGTTATTTTACTGGATTAATCTACTTTGTATTATAAAATAACATGTATAAATAGTTAATAAATAATCTAATATTTATTTACTAATAATCATTATTCATATAAAATAATTAGTGTTTTATTAAAAAGTTAATTGTATTTATAATTTATATTTTAGTAATTAATTTTTACTGTGTAGAAGAATTGTGTTTTAAATTATTCAGTTTTAACGATATTGTAAGTTGTATTATTTATATTGCTTATAAATTTTAAGTACATTATTAATTATAGTGTATAGGTACATATTTAGTTTGTATTTTGTTTTAGATAATTGTTGGTATTAATTATTTCTTAAAAGTTATTATGGAGTTTAATACTACATTTTCAAATATGCATCAAGAGAATTTTTCATTTCAAAATCAAGTAAGTGGAAACAATATTTCTCTATTTGATAAAAACTTGAAAAGAGTTAATGAAGACTTGATAAAAGTTGATAAATATTACTCTTCTAAAAATAATCATCCAATTGAAAATCATTCTCAAGTCATAAAAAGCGAACAAATAAATAATTCACTCTATGAAACAATGGATGATTCTTTAAAGTTCTATGATGAATTATATAAAATTCAAATGAATGAAATTGAAATGAATAGAAAAAAGAATGTACGAAATGTATTGAATAAAAAAGTTGATACTTGGAAACAGACAAAAAAAAAATGTTCAAAGTTACTAACAATTAATATTGATGAAGACTCTAAGCGTTCTTTTCGTGAGGGACTTATTATTGACAAAAACTATAACAATAAACTACTGGACAGCAATAATGATCAATTTCAAACTAGATTACTTGAAGAACAAAATAAATTTAATACAATTAAATTTGCCAGGGTTCTAAATAGTGCATCGAGTTTATTATGTGATATAAAAAAATTATTAGATGAAAGTTGTATAACATCACAATTACTTAATAGTCATAGAGACAATTATAAACTTTTTGAAATCTCTTTAAATGATTTAAAAACAAAGTCTTCAAATATTAATGAACAAGATATTCTAACTATCAATGAACTTCAACAAAATATTAAAATATTGTATGAACGGTTATTAGAAATACAAGTTAAACATATTAAATCTAAAACTGATTGTCATGAAAATGAAGAGAACAATGTATCAACTGAAAATATACCTAAAAGCAATGAAAATTGTTTCAACAATCAGATATTAGAAAAAAATAAATGTGAAAAAACTATAAATGAAATACAAAATTTTTCATTTAAAAAAAATGAAAATCTTGTTGATAAATCTGACGAATTCTTCACATTTAAATTTAACGGAAATAAAAAAGTTAATGATAGTAATATTTCAGATTTTTCTTTTAAAATTAATGAAGATTCAAAATCTGAAACTATTGTAAAAAATTCTTCTTATAATTTTGAAGATGAGTATAAACAATTTTTAGAAAATCATCTTACTATTCAGAAATATTTGAAAAAAATTGAAAATAGTTATTCTTCTTTTCTTTGTGATGATAATTTAAAACCTTTGAGGCAGGAATTAACAAAATCAATTAATACACCAGTTAATAGTATATCTTCAGTTTCTTCATGGCATATGAAAGATAAATTTGATAAACTTGATGCATTACTGAAGTGTAAAACGGTGAAAACTGGTAATTCTACTGTAACAGCAAATAGTCATCCAGAAGCATTGATATTTTGTAAAGATACATTAGCTAAAAAAATAATTAATATTGGAGAACAAGTGGTTAGTGTAAAGACAGAAACTGGTTTTGAAGTTGCTTCAATTGTTACAGAGCTTTGGAAAATTCATCCAGATTTTGGTATTTTGCTTTATGCAAGATTTAAACAAAAATGTCCTTGTCTTATCCCATATAACGCTGCAAAAACAAATGAAGAAACTGATGAGGAATTTTATAAATCATTATGTTATAACTATATAAATGGAGTTGTCGAAAAGCAAGATAAGTATGTAAAAAGAATGACTGGTATCATAAGATTATTTGCAGCAATTATAGTAACTGAATCTAAGAGTGGTAAAGCCTTAGGTATTGGACAAGCCTGGATGCTGATTGCAGCAACTGTAAATTTAGTTCCCCAATTAGATGTTACAGCCATTTTTTTACATGAAATACTGGTAATTACTGGTTATGAACTTAAACAAGCTTATGGAAGACAATTTATCAAAATGTTGGAATACATAAATACTAATTATATGAAGAAAATTGATGAAGTTACACCAATTGGTTGTGGAGGTCCAGTACAAAGATTAAAAACATTTATCGACAAAATTATTCAAGTAGGTTATATTGAAAAACCTAAAGGTATAATACCTTATGACTTTTGGTAAATAACCATTTGTTATGCAACATTTTTTTTTGTTTAACCATGTTTTAAATGTTTTTTTTTTACGAAAATAAAAATAAGATGATTTGATTTAAATGTATGTAAAATCATTAGCAAATTATTAAAAGTTATAATAAAGTGATGTGTTTTTATAAAATTAAACTTTAAATATATTATATAATACTTGATGGTGGTTAGGATACTATAGTAACAAGTAATATTGTTAGTTCCTATATTCAATAATTTATATTTTTATTGTACAGTGTAATGTAACTAATTATTGTACTACATAATATTTGATAATGAAAATATTTTGTAAAATGTAATAAATGTATACATTTGGTACAGTTGTAGTTTTAATATGTTGTACTAACTTATATGCTTTATAAGATTTAAACATTTAAATTATGAGGCTGAAAAATACTACAAATAATAAGGATTTAGATTTTGTAGTAAATGCTTTTTTTTTGCCAGGAAATGTAATAGAAAAATAATAAAATAAACTTTATTTTGTTTTTCTCCTAATTTTTACATAACTTTTGTAATTTCATATGTTTCCATATATATCATATAATGATACTACTAACTGAAATTATGTCAAATACATGATACATTTGATAATTTTTTTTTTATCATTTTTGAGATTTTAGGTATTGAAAATAAGATTGAATTTAGATATTAAGACTACTAGAATTTAATAAAATATATGGTTGTTAAGGCGGTCACACATAGGAGCATTTTGGTGTAATGTAATGCCATAATGTAACAGAGTTTGTGGTCACTTAAATGTTACAACGACCAGTGTGTACGTAAAAGGTCGAGCACTACTCTGTATCGGTTGTTCGCTGGTCTACCCATCAGTTATTCACAGTTTGTTCTTGAATTCACATTGTGTGCAATGTCTTCTATAAATTTACAAGTCGCCAGTGCATCATTTATTTTAATTCATTCTATTTAAAATAAAAAAAGGCAATAGAAACTGGTGGCAAACAAATTTAATGAAGGCTAGAGACATATGTAGTGGATCAGACTTATTAAATTGTCTTCAGTAACAGGAAATAAGTGGACAGTACAAGAATTTTATTAGAATGTCATCTATTGATTTTGAATAATTTCCAAAAAGCCAATTCTGTGCAAGAAAGGTTAGCTATTACACTACGATTTTTTGCAACTGGTAAAACTTATCAAATTTTAGCTTCTGTAATGTAATATGTCATTAGCCAATGAGGACCCTATTTTTGTTTTAATATTTTATTTTGTATTTATTCTTATTTTATTGTATTTCTCATTATTCCTATTAAATTGTTAACTTGAATATCTTTTTATATTATAATTTACATAGTTACTTGCACTGGTGGTACTGTTTTTTACTTCAATGTTTTGTATAAAATAGGAGAAACTGTAAATTTTATAATAAATAAATAAATATTAAAATCAATAGGTAATTAAATAATTTATATAATATAAAGTACAGTAGGTATATAGATATTTATATACATTTAAATTTAATCCTAACATAAATAATCTAACAGGTTCAAATACTTAATAATATAATATACACAAATAAAATATTATATAATTATAGTTAACTTTAAGTAGTATTTTTTGAATTTAATACTATTATTGAAATCTTAGTATAAAAGTACTATCTATCAAATTTTGATATTGATATTCATACATGATTAGATTAAGGTTGATAAATATATATTAATTAAGATAGGTACTTCAAATAAATAATATACAAATTAGGTAATATTTTTCATTATAATTAATAAATATTTATATTTTTGGCTATAGGAAAGGTATAAATATTATATATTTTTAACTGTTATTATTCTTTATTCTAAAACAAGCAACCTTGATAATAAATACATATACTTAACTAGCAATTTATTTTTTTGGAACTATTTTAAATCCTTCAAAAACATTAAAAATACTATTTTTATAGTTAAGTAATGATAAATATTAAATTAAATAACAATACAATACAAAAAATTGAATTTCTAATTAAAATTCTTTTATTATTCCTAAAAAATTTACAATAGTTATAACTTTGGATTCATTAATTAGTAGTTTTATATAATATTAAAAAAATTTTTTTTAATTTTTTTATAGTGTTTTTTTTCTATACTAATTTTTAATGCGCACTAAAAATAGAAATATTAAACTTATTTTTTATGGATAAGCAAAATAATAATTTTAAGTTTTCAAAATATACTGTGATTTTTATGGAGGCAGTAGAAATATTATATATGCTTTTTTGCATACAATAAATATTGATTCAAAACATTTTTTTTATAACTAAAATTGTTATTTTAAACATATTTTTATATGTTTATAACATTTATATGGTTAAGTTATTTCAACAATAATTTGGATTAAAAAGAAGTTGAATAAAAGATTATAAAATTTTAAGCTGACTAACATATTCGTAAATATTTCATACAGAACAAAATTAATACATTATTGAGAGTAATATATTCTATAATACAATGTTTTTGACCTCCATAAACTATAGGAGTTATCAAATTTAAGTAAATAAACTCCTTCTCCTGGATATACATGACTTCCAGCATATATTTCCTTATGACAATCTCTTCGATATACTGGTATTATTATTGATAATGGTGGTCGATTCATCTGATTACTATTTTTTATATCTTTAATTGTAACACCATTTTGTTCTAATTCATGAAGTAAATCTAATACAAATAATTATTTACATATAAATAAATATACACATACACACACACACATACATACATACATACATACATATATATAAATATATATACATAAATGATACATTTAAATATATTTTTTTTTAATTTAAAGAAATTGGCATCATTCAAGATCAAATTTAGATATGTTGGTGGCTTTGAATAAACTATAAACAGGACATTACACTTTTTGGATTATTAAATAACATTTAATATTTTTAACCCGCTGGCCACTACTCAGAAAACTATACTTCTATCCTTGAGAGAACATACCTGTTTTGTGCATGATAGACTAATAGCGTGATAACTGATGTTAAACAACGCCAAACTTATCGGTACATGAAATTGATGGGGGATGTGCAAGTTTAAACCCCTCAGGTGGATTTTCTCATAATTTTAGTTTTACATTATATTTTTATATATTTAACATTAAATAATTACAAAACTGTGGGGCCCGAGGATTGCAATCCATTCAGCCTCCCCTTAATCTGGCCCTGGTATCATTCATTTATTCAACATACATATTTATACCTTGACTAATATTACCGTCATCATCGTCTTCCAAGTCATCACAATCATCATCTTCACTCTCGGACACATGCACTGAAACTTGACTAGTACTAGGTTTAACCCATTCAAAGTAAACACCAAAACCTATGTCATGACCATCAGTAGCAAATTCCCAAAATACACAGTTTCCACCTTCAGCCGTAGGAACTCTAACCTATAGGATCACAAAATAGACAGTACATTACATTTTTTAAATTTATACACATTTTAAAAAATAATTTATATTTTTGTAGTAAAATGTATCTATCCTATAGTAACCTAAGTGTTTACCGTAACTGTTTCTCCATGATTTACTTTAATAACGGCTTCTCCACCTTCTCGTAGTAAATTAACTTTAAATTCATCAATATCTTTTCTTGTCCACATTGAAGCAGGAAACAATGTTTGAACAGAATCTAAAAAAAAAAAACTGCTGAATAAGTTGTGTAAAAAATTGATTAAAAATATACATTCTGCATTTTCACTTTGCTCATTATTGATGCTCTCATGTTCATTAATCTTATCTTCAGGAAGAGTTATAGAATTAGTAGTTATTTCTAATTCTTTACCGGGTTCATAGTTTTGTTGTAATTGTTGCATGTATTGATGATAATGTTGTTCTTGTAATTGTCTCACAAGTACAGCTTGCTATAAATAATATTATATTTGGATTGTTTTATCATTATATATTTCTAATAAATATTAAAGTTAAATATGTAGTCCTAGTATAATACCTACCAAATACTATTAAATGTCACATATTACCTAATAATAAATTACATTATATTATCATTTATCATACTTTATTTGTTGCTGATGATTATCATTGTCAAGTATTTAAATATGTTCTTCAAGAATAATAGATTGATTTTATTTCACCCTAATAAACTTTTAATAAATTATTGTATACTACATTAACTGACGAGCACCATTCATTTTCTAGTTGGCGATCTAGTAAATTTATTGCTCCTTTGGTTTTTTTTTCCATACTAAGAATAAATATGTCTCATAAATATTCTAAAATTTGTTTTTACAACTATTGTAGGATCATAATTAGCTAATCATATACCAACTTTAAAATATCGAAAATACATAATCACAATACTTTTTTAAATTTGTTTAAAATAAAAAATTTGATAAAATTGTGAAAATTTACAAATTATTATAATTATTAAAGTTTTATACAATTTCATACACAAGAATTTAAATTTTGATGAAATAATATGATTATGAGTAAAATAGTGATTTGTCATCAAACAATATTTTTTTATAAACAAAAAATTCATAAACAAACAATTGTAGAAATTTGAAATTTTCATTAAATATTTATATCATAATTTCTTACAGATGTCATAATTCTCTAAATATTTTTGACTTCTTTTAGTTAATAAAAAGACATTTGAAATAATCAATTTTTTATAGTTGTTTTTTTTTAAATAAATATTGATTTATAATGTTTTGCTTGAACAAAAATTTAGAAAAATGCTATATTTTAATGACCCAATTTACTGGTACAATCATTTTCTAGTAATAAAACATAAATAGTAAAGTAAATAGGGATAAATGATTTAACTATAGGTGACATATGACTTAATTTAAGTCATTATAGGTAATGTATAACAAAATAACCAAATATGTTTACTATATTTAAAAATATTAAATAAATTATTTAGTAAATTATTACTTCATCTGGATTGTTTGGAAATTGATTTTGAGCATAAGTCAAAAACTGGCTATAAGTCTGCTTATTTAAAGCTTCTTGAATGAGTTGTCTAAAATATTAATAATAAATTAAAATCTTTACAAACATTTAAATTAATTTAATGATTTTAATTACTTGGTATTTTCTTGTCTACATCTTTCTTCTTCATCTTTTTGTTTTAATTCCATTAGTGCAAGTTGTTTTTCTAGTTCTTCTTGTTCTTTTTTCATATTTTCATCACTTAAATATTATACAAATTAAATTATAGTATATAAATATAATATTAATATCATTACTAAATAATAGTTACGTAATACGTTTCTGTTCAATCAAATCAGCTTTATAAGCTTCAACAGTATGTTTGAATAAAGTACATTCTTTATTCACCAATTTAACAAAATTAATCATGGAGTTTTCTGTTGACATGTCACCAAGTGCTTGCCATGCTAATCTATAAAATGATGATATTCATAAACACAAATTGATACCTTGAGTATCAATATAAATTTAATTTACCTTCGATCTCTTCCAATAACATCAAATACACCTAAAGGTGGTAATTTTGATTCATCTAACTTTCCATGACTAACTTGACGAGTATATGCAACAAGTTTTAATTTATCGTCATAAGTAAAATGTATAGCTTTACCTTCTTTTTCTACAAAATAATAAATAAAAAAGTAATCATAACTATTTTCAAAGTACCTGAAAATTGTAATTATTATTTTTTAATTAAATACAGAAAATGGGAGTATTACCTACATAGATATATTTTTTTTTCATAAGTATAAAAGTACATAATTTATAAATTATGGTTGTTAGGTACTATTTATACAGATTTTAAACATATTTAAGAGATTTATTCAAGAAAGACAAATTTAGAGAACAAGATAAATATTGATGATTGACTAGAAATATCACTAAGATTATTAAAAAATATATATTTGAATGAAGATAAAGCAAAATAATAAGCAGAATAACTAGTAATAAGCATATTCTAAATACTTTTCCAATCATTTTTTTTTTAATTGAACTTTTATTTTTTTTATCAAGGAAAATATATAATCACAGTCTTTCATATTGTGTCTGAACACTAGGTAGCTACTCTTTTCAAATGTCCATGCCTTGTATGCAATTCTTTTTTTCTTCTCTTAAATACTTACTGTAACTATAATTACAGATTTTATATTTAAAAAAAATATATATTAAGTAAAAAATTAAAATAAACACAAATATTATTTAGGATGAATATTTTTATTTGATACTAATTATGTTATTAAGAAATTTTATGTATCAAAATTTAAACAAAGTAAAGTAGTGCTTTTAACTACTGAAATGAATCACTTATCTTACATTTAGAAAAAACTTTTGACATACCCTTAAAAAACTTAAGCGCCAGTGTATATAATTCTTTCAATGGCAAACCCCATTTTTCAACAATATCTTCTTCTTTGGTATTATTACACATCGTTTAAATAAAATGTATATGATTAATTTGCGATTTTGTTTAATGAATAATGATTTTATGGTTTGAATATGATTTGTATTTCATATGATGTACATTACATGAGCACAACTTCATAAATACACAGAAGTACAATATGAATAATTTGTTTTATAATCGTCTGAAACTATATACTATATAGCTGATGTACAAATTATAAAAAGCCTAATGTATTGATATTAAATTACATCTGATAAAATATGATAATAATGTAAAATAATCATAAAATGTGTTGTTGTTCTATAAACTTATCTCTGAAAATAATAAAATATTGTGGTTACGTTCGGTTCTCTAATCTTCATTCTACAACCATGAAATAGAACCATGACAAGAAAAACCTTTTTTAACTATGTACCTTTTTTTTTTGTCATACATAAAACATGATAGAAGCGATAATAAAACAGCTGACGATTTGCTTACATTTGTTTGGAGGCTTTACTTGATCAATGATCACCGAATAGGTTTAATAATAATTATAATAAACATTTGACATAACTAGTAACTACGACATTTGATATTGATGTTTAGTAAATGTGATGTTAGTAACTAATGAATATATCAACATAAAACTGAATTTTATAATGCTGAAGTGAGTTTTATAATGATTATGGAAAAGCCAAAAATGTGCTGCACGAAATCAATGATTCTATCGACTGTTTCGTTCCCGTTAATTATTAAGATTTAATCCTCGGGGTTAGGTATACTAGTCTTAGGATGTTTTGTCCATACTCCATAGTGTATGTTGATTTTACCTAAGAATTACAATATAAAATAACTTGACTAGGACGTTAAGTCTTAAGCACGTTTAAAGATATACTTATATATCTTCAATCGCGGTCTTAAGGTTTTTTATCATTATTTTTATAAATATCTTCAATAAAATTTAAATAAGTAGTAAAAAAATAATTTTAAGCTTAAAAATATATTTGAGATTCATTTAAATTTTTATCTTTGACAATCAATGCCTTTATTTTTAATGAAAAATTTAATATTTAAATGACAATAATACAAATACATTGGAAATTAAAAAAAAAAAAATGTATATTTTATATAGTAAGTCAAAATTGACAAAAATATCTTAAATTTTTAAAAATAAAATAATAATAAAAATGTTTTAAGCATATTTTTAATTTTAAGACCAATACTTTATGTGTTACAGATAATTAAAAATATTATCATTATTATCATACTTAAATTCTTTACATTAGGATTTTATTTTTTTTCCTTAAAACTACTTGTCTTCTACACATTTATTATTTCATTTTTTTTTCTATCAATGCAATCTTTACTAACGCATTATAATATTACATATCTAAAAAGCAGTGATTTTTTTCAAAATAAATAGTCGATATTATACCTACTAAGATAGAGTTATTTCATACACAACCCTAATAGTTATTAAAAATAAATCTTAAAACTAAAATTAAATGGGTAAAGAATTTAACCACTGTGGCTATGTTGGTCTGGGATTAGAATTTGCTGTTCTAGAGCTATTTAGAGAAATATATATTCTACTATTAATTGCATCTTTCGAGTAGCAATGTTGTTAATTCGATTTTATAGTATAGTGCAACAGCAGGACACCACACGTTTTAATCTACAACTATATGGTATTGTGATGTTGTGTGGTTATAGTGTAGCATATATGCTTGTATCAGTTTTATGTAAAAAAAAAAAAAATAACCGTAGAGCTGTTTAATTTTAGAAAAAGAATTTATAAGATATAGAATTATAGAAATTTACCTGTTTCATAAAAACTAATAATTTCATTACAAAAGATTTTATATTTTAACTTCAAAAAATACCGTTAATGTCATATTTTATCGTTTTAATTTTATCTTGAGGATTTCGCACATTTAAAAATGTTTTAAATCGAAGTATAATATACCTAAGATTGATCATAGGAAAGTTGGTTATTTAAAAATTCCTTTGCGCTTTTCACTATTTCCGTTCCAACATTTTTAACGTTAGTTACGTAGCAATTTCCATATGACTTCCGTAATTTTTTATAGTCCTTACTAGGTACTTACTGTTATTACTAGTTTACCACGGCTTTGAATTATTACTTAGTTGTTCCGTACCCTATGTAGTGCCGAATATAGGACATTTGACGCCCTGGGTTAATTAAAATGCAGCGCCCTTATATGAATGGATATTGGATAGCTATGCTGTATGCCGGGTGTCAAACTATCAACATAAAACAACATTTTTAAATACTTATTTAACAAAAAATAATTTTTTATATTACAAATATTTTGATTTAATTTATTATCATGAATATTATTTAACAAAATCGTAATGTTTAAATAAAATCGACTATTTGAGAAGAACTAATAAAAGATTTAAAATCAAAATATATTATCATATATTCGTACATCGTACTTTAATTTAACATTAAAATAATATACAATAATAATTCGTCGGTCACCGGATTGGATTTTTTCCGAAAACAAATAAATTTATAAAGACTTAACAATTAAACTATAAAGACCTAAACACCGAATAAAAGTAGTTTAAAGATAAACATTAAAATATATTTTTAAGTAATTACTCAATGTGTAATATATTTTTTTCTTGATGGAAGTATAGAAATATGTTATAATTTATACATATTTTTTAATATATTTTATGTTCATGGTTTTAATTTTTATTTTTCATATGTCTAAGAGTCCCCCCAAAGCCTATATAATATATACATTTATTTATTAATTTGTGGCTTGTGGAATTATATGTTTTATCGTGCTGATATCACAACAAAATATATTTAATAGAAATTCTATTTATTATATTAATTCATAAATCAATTGTACTAGATTCAGATGATGTGATTAACGAGTTGGCTAAACAGCCAAGAATATTAGAGATTCTTTTATAAACAGTACAAAAATAAAGCTATGTATAATATATTATATTACAAATAAAATAAATTTAATATTTTAATAATTATTATTTAATTTAAAAGTAAAATTTAATTTCAATATTTCAATATTTATATTTTGAAGAATTTATTATTATATTGTATAGGTACTAAATTTTTAAAAATTTTAAAGCAACATTAATTAATACATTTTGTGTACCTATATAATATAAGTTTATGGATTTCTGATGAAATAGTATTCTCAGATAACAATTATCACTGTACTTAAAAATCTAAGTATTTTGTGTGTAAAAAATTGTTTATTCCCCTAAGATAAATTTCTAATTACCCCACTACTAAGAATGCTTTATACCAACAGCGCCTGGGTAAGGATACTCACTTCCTCATACTTTAGATCTGGCACTGACTCTACGTAACATATATGTATATATGATTGAATACTATAAAAGTATAAGCACACATTTTCAAACATGGCGACATGTTTTATGAAGTAATTAATAATATAAGCTTGTTTAGGTCGGGGTGAAGAGTGATATGAACATTGTATTATTACTTCTATTTAAATTAAACCATTTAAGTATTGTCTCACACGTCTTTTCTCGGAAAAGTTGAAACTTGATGTTTTCATGGATAAGGTTACGGGTCAACGAGAATATCAAATTATATTACAAGACTTTTTGTATAGTAAATTTGCCAACACCACAACCACCACTCTTTATGAAAAGATTATATGAAAGGGAGACTGTCGCCAAAGTTCGGTGGTTTGTTAGGAATATCTGACTATCTGAGACGTTCAAACTTCAAAGGTAGGTTGTAACACCGCTCATCGCCTTATATTTTAATATCGTATTTTTGCAGTTTTTTAAATAAATGTTTAACAAAGACTACATTATATTTAAATATCACTTTAATTTTTGAGTTAATCCATTAATCAAGTATCAACGAGTCGGGACGTAACAGTTTTTATATTTCTTACAATGTTTTATAATTTATTATTGAATATTGAACTCTTTGGACAAGTTGTTAGTACAACCATAACCTATTTTTGTGACATAGTACACGTTTTGCATGTACTCGTTTGGTGGAAATGTTGGTGGGCATTGTATAAACCATAAAGCGAGTTGTACCGTAGACCGAAGTACTTACTTGTAGCCTTGTTATAGATTTGTATGTCCCGTTGCCGTAATTTGAATCAAAATATTCTTCAATTTCTCATAAGTTTTAAAAAAAATTGATTAATTTGGTAAAAAAAATTATTATACGTATGGTGGTTAGTTTTGAAACAACTGTAAATTTTGTTCGTTTAATATTTTTTACAGTTTTAATGGAATTTCTATCATTAAACATTTTTTTTTTTTTGATAAATACAATTTATTTTATTTGTTAACTTAATACTTATGAGACTGCCCAAAGGGATTTATAAAAGCATACATGTGAAAATATTTAAAAATATTATTTAAATTTAATTGTTATTAATATATTGAATATTTTAAAGAAAATGTCTATTAAATTTGTTTAGCATTTCTACTTATTGTTTGGTTGTTTATTTCAACCAATTCACTAGAAATTAACTGAAATAAAGTACATTTTGAAAAATACCTACCTATCTAATATTATTTTGAATATAATTTAAATATAATTAAAAATAGATGTTCTTTTTTGAAAATTACCTGTTCCATAAAAACATAACACTGCTAGAAGTTTAATAAGCAGTGGAACTGATAAACTCCTCATTATGTATTCAGTATTATTAAACATAGTATCACTGAAGTCTTGGAAAATCTAGTGTGTTCATTAATATATGTTTTTGTAGTATCTACTTATTATTATGCATGGACACGTGGTTAATAGTTTAAATATTAATATTTGTAAATACATAAAATTGATTTATTAATAAATCTGAATCTGTTTAAAAATTATTTATCACTTTAGTAATTAATGGAATTTTGCATATCTGGCAGATATTTTTTAGGTACACGTTCATTTATAGTAACTCGGATAGAAAAAGTCTATTACAAAATGTATCTATATTTTTAATTACAGTAATTTCAATTTATCAAATGAAAACAAGAAAGATGTAAATGATATAATTATTTTATTATCATTAAAGGTACGTTTAAAAGGTCAAAAGGTCAGGATCTTTTAAAAGTGCTATATTTAAGTCTAAATCATAAGTATCGTTTATGAATTTGATTTAAGTCATAAAATTATTGCTTAAGCTTTACTTATTCTTAAGAACTGATTAAGAATAGGGCTTTTATACTGTTAACTCT